CTATTGGTAAAAATACACATCAATTACAAACTTTTATCCCCCCATTTATGTATTTGGTGCAGGGTCTCACTACACAGCTTGATCCTCCTGTTTTCAGCCTCCCTAGAGATGGGATTACAGGCGTGCACCATTATGCCAGGACTCAGTCTGTGGCACAGCATATAAGACCGAGAATCGAACCCCAGTCCATGAGCTTGCCAAAACAGACGTTTATTCTGCTATCTCGCTTGCCCCAATTACTAACTTCAATACTTTTTTTGGGGTGTGAGATTGGTCTCACTCTTTATTTTTAGTTCAGGCTGGTCTTGAACTGTAATCCAGGCTGACCTCAACCTCCTGGGATCCTCCGGTCTCAGCCTCCTGCATGCTGGAATTATAGGTGTTTGCCACCAGAGCTGGCTATACAATTTTAAGAACACAGCAGTTTAGTCCTTGACCTCTTCAAAGATCAGAAAAGTCAACAGCAGTTTAAAAAAGTCAGGAACCCTAACAAGATATGCTTCTCAGTAGCACCCAATTCCAGAACACAGAACTGTAAGATAAACCTCTCAGGACACTTTAGGTTTTTTGATTGACAGAGGTCAGCACACGTAACACTCTCTACTTCAATTTTTTCTTTTTTACTTTTAAGGGGAGTTTAGATTAGTCAATATTAAATCTACTGTTTGGGCTGAGGAGATAGCTCAGTGGTCTAAGTGTCTGCCTGGCAAGTGCAACATCCCAGCAGTTCCACATGGCATGTGGCCCCAAAATGGGGTGTGGTGGTACACACCTATAATCCCAAGGCTGGGGAGGCTGAGGCAGGAGCATCACTATGAATCCAAAATGCATAGCAAGGGGCTGGTGAGATGGCTCAGTGGTCTAAAGCACCTACTTAGAACAAGCTTAGCAAAGCACAGGGACCGCGGTTCAATTCTCCAGCACCACATGCCAGCCAGCCTGCCCCCTGGTGGGCTGAGCTGGCCACACACACAAAATTTTTTTTAAAAAAGCATAGCAAGATGCCATATCAACAAATAATTTTAAAAAAAAATCTATTTTTCTATAGAAAAATGCATCCATTTAATGAAAGCCCATGAAAGGCTTGCCTCAATTGCATCAAATGAAATCAGTATTTTCTCAAAATCTATTACATTTTAAAGTCTAAAGTATATAAAAAGTAAACCTTTTATTTTTTTTATTTTTAAATTTATTTATTTATTTAGTGTGTGTGTGGCCAGCTCAGCTCACCAGGGGGCGGGGCTGGCTGGCATGTGGTGCTGGGGGATATAACCGCGGTCCCTGCGCTTTGCTAAGTTTGTTCTAAGTAGGTGCTTCAGACCACTGAGCCATCTCACCAGCCCAAAAGTAAACCTTTTAAAAAAAGTTTTTCTTTATTTTATTTTTTCTTTCTTTATTTTATTTTTTTTTTGGTGCGGAACCAGGGATTGAACTCAGGCCCTGCACTTGCCAAGGAAGCACTTATTCCACTGAGCCACCTCCCCAGCCCTAAAAAAGTTTTTCTTTAAAAAAAATCTGAGATACGGTCTCCCTAAAATTGCCTAGCTCAACCTACCACAGGATTAGGTTTTTATTTTGTTTTTGTTTGTGCGTACTGCTCACACTGAACACAGGGTGGTCCTCTTGAGTGCTAGCTAAGTACTCTACCATTGAACTACACCCCCAGATCTTTTCACTTTTAATCCAACAGGGGGAAAAAAAAAATCAATTTACTTTTTTTTAATGAGCAGAATATATTTATTGAGAGAAAGAAAGCTCCTGTCCAAGAGAGGGACAGGAGGGGGGCCTGAGCAGGTAGTTCCCTGGGAATCTGTCTCTCCCAGGGACTTTTATAGTGTAAAACCATGTGGGGCTAAAACAATGGGAACTCACTTAGGTAGGCAGGAAAAATTTGTTACCTAAGCAAGTCCCAATCCAGAATTTATGAAAGAAAGGCAAAGTCATATCTCCATCCACTGATCTCGGTGGAAACCTCCAAAATGATACAGGGAGAAAAACTGATCTGGGGAGGGGGTGACCTCCAAGCCATATAGGGAACCTCCAAATGACATAGGGAAAAATTGATCTCCCGACCTGACCCGCACGAGTTCGTGTTCTCTAAAACCGAAGAATGAATTTTAGGAACAAACGGAGGTTATGAGCAGAATATATTTATTGAGAGAAAGAAAGCTCCTGTTCAAGAGAGGGACAGGAGGGGGTCCCGAGTGGGTAGTTCCCCCAATTTACTTTTCTGTCAAGTCTCAATTTAGGTAAGCAAAGGCTGAAGAAAGGAGAACTTAAAAAAAAAAAAAAAAGAATTTTCCAGAAAGCAAAACAAAGAAACTAGCCAGTCTACCAGAGTAAGAAAAAAACCTGACATCAGAAGGACTTGTTTATACGGTCTCCAGAATATTAACAGACCTAATGAAACGAGCAATGAAGTAATTTCAAATTAATAACGCCACTTTCCTACCCTAGGTTTTAATCAGATGGCAGATTTTTAACTGGAAAATAGTTAAGAGGATGCTTTAAATGCCATACTTACAGTTTTTAGGGCAGTCCAAATGCTTTTACTTCAACACTCAAAACCTAAACTCTTGTGGCAAACTTTTGTCCCCAACCAATTCTGGCAAGCAATATGTCCCCATAAAGTACTATCACTTTAGACTACAGGAGAAATCTCAATTTATCAAGTAAGAGAAAAAAATCTCAGCAGAGGAAAAGTTTATCATTCTTATCAAGAATAAGAGATGTTTTTTCATAGACAAGAGAGTGAAACATCTAACAAGTAAACTTCTAATTAGTTCCATGAAGAAAGAAAAAATCTCCAGCACTTTAAGTCAACTATAGGATTCCCAGCAAGGCCGTCCCTAGGCTAAAATCACCACTGAGGAACAAGCTCATCAGCCTCTTTCTTCTTCTTTTTTTGGTACTGGGAATTGAACTCATGACCTCACACTTGCTAAGCAGGTGCTGTGCCGCTGGTCTATATTCCTAGCCCATCTGGCTCATTCTGCACACATCAGTCCCCACCCTGATTCAGACAACTTAACAGCAGTTAAGTCTTCCCCATCACCTCTTCCTTCACTTCTCAGAACATACCCTTCTTTACTTCTCCAATTCACTTGCTCAAAGGCTGTGTAGACATAACATATTAAGCAGAACCCAAAGAAGCCCTCCCTTGGCAGCACTCTATGCAGGCGACTGCATCACTTGTAATGAAAGTAGATACTGATGGTGAATAACTGAGTTTTTTCCTCTATGACTTCTAGGGTAAGGGGGCGGGGCCCCCAAATCGGGAGAAAGAGATACTCTGGAGGGCAGGAATCAGAATCAGTGAGGTCACTGCAGGGGACTACTTTTAGTTGACAAATTAAGTTTACCCCGGGGGAAGGGTCCAACGAAAAGTCTCACAGGTCACATGATTGGTAGGATCCAAGCTTGCCCAGAAAGCCTCAGAAAATGAAACCAAATCTAATTAAAATGGACATTTCAAAACAACAAGAGTCACAGCAGCAAACGCACAGCTGCCATTTCCCGGCCACTTCCTGTGGGAGGCTGGGGGAGGGGCTGTTTGTGTACAGATGGAGGTGGAAGCTATCCCCCTTAAAGCCCCCCAAAGGACACAAATCCCTCACTCTGATAAAGCCCAAAAAAAGATGACTGCTATTGCTATTGCCTTCCCCTGAAAACTGGGAACACCGGAAAAGAAAGGGATGATGCCAGATCATCTTTTCTTCCACGGAAACAGGGATCCCCTTAGCAAGGGATTTCCTTGGAAAGGAATCCCTCTTTATTCTTACCCTCAACCCAGCTCAAACCCGGGACGACTACCATCTGCCCTATCAATCCCATTCCTGGAGTAGGGGATTCTCCGAGACGCGAGGGCCAAGCCAAGGGCAGCTCCGTGCCCAGCCAGGCCTCGTTCTGCCCTCCAGCTCGAGAGAACGTGCGCGCTCCCACACGGAGGCACCTTCGGAGCCCGGGAGGCCCCTGCTGCCCTCACTCACCGCGGCGCAAACGCCCGGATGCCCCAGACGGTTGGCCCACCCCAGGGACCCGCACCCACCCGGCACGCGGGCCGCCCCCACCCCACCCGAGTAGGTGGAGCCCCTCCGAAGGATGCCACCCCGAGTCCCCCACTGGAGTCTCCACAGTCAGGCGGCTTCTCCGCCTCCTCCGCGTCGCCGCCGCCGGAGCCTTCACAGCTCCGCCCGCCCCCGCGGCCCAGTGGAGGTCCTCAGCTGCTCCGCCAGTCCCCAGGACAGGGACATCCCCCGCTGGAAACAGGCTCCCCTCAGTTGCCTGCCCCATGCTAGGTTCAAGGCAGCTCCAGACCCTCTTCCCAGAGCGAAGCCTCGGATGGAAGCGGGGTTTTCTCTCCTCAGACGCCCGGCCACAAACCCCACAGACCTGGGGAGGCGGCGTCCAGGCGGGTTCGGGGCTCGCGTCTCCCCGGGGGGCAGGGGCCGGCAGGCGGTTCACATGGCCGAGCAGCGGGCGCCGGGAGGGGAGGAGACGCCCGAGGGGGGAGAGGGTCCGGGGAGGGGGGATGGGGGACGCGGCTCAACCGCGGGGCCCGAGCGGAGCCAACATGGCCGGCGGGGGAGGAGTGAGTCGAAGCCGGAGGGGGCGGGGAAGCTGTGGCCGCGAGAGCCGCCCTCCTTGGCCTGGGCTACCGGGTCCTAGTGCCCGGAGTCTCCCTTCCAGACTCCGATCTGGGTCCTAGCGCCTCAAGGGCTACACCCAGGCCTCCTGGTCAGCTCTCTTGGCAGCCAGTTTCTTTGAGGACTGTCCTCTTGCTTCACACCACCAAACTCGGGGGCGAGCTATAGTCCTTAGATTAACCTAAAAGACTAGGCCACTGTTCTAGCACCAAAGGCACGCGCTAATTTGAGGGAGGCTGGTGGATGACAATTTCAGGAGTTTATTTCCCAGGCAGGGTAGTGGAAAAATGGAAGTGAAAAGGTTAGGGCGCTATTCAAAGATTTGGAAAGAGCAACAGTCCACCACCCACTCACCTCTGTCTGGTCAGGGCAGCCTGGTCTTGTCTGGATCACCACTTTCCTGGTGACATCTGCAAGGCCTTGGCCTTCAAGAAGATTCCTGTGAGTAGAGAAAAGATGTTTGGTTCTGAAATTGTACAACAGAAACTGACTCTAGCCTAAATGCCCTCCAAAGGGTAGAAGATAAGCAGAAAACTTACCAATAAATAAGGTCTATTTATTCTATAGTTCTAGTATTTTTTTCTAGCGAAACTGCATAACTTTGTGAAATTTTCTGGAAACAGGACAGTAAAAGCTAACAAATTAGTTGGCTGTTATCTAAAGTGTCCGTTGCTGGGCCACAGGATGGGGAATAGTGTCATATGTTAGAGAGTACCAAACTTTTACCTCAACTTTCTCTCCTTTGTCAGATGAAGAAATTAAGGCCTAGAGAGGTTCATTGACTTGTTCAAGATCAAACAGTGGATAAAATATGACCAGAAAGGAAATACATTCCATTTCCTTACAATTTAACATTTTTCAGGCTTCAAAATAATTCCCATTGGGGGCCGGGGAGATGGCTCAGTAGAATAAGTGCTTGTCTGGCAAGCCCAAGTGTCTGAGTTCAATCCTCGGTTCCGCCAAAAAAAAAAAAAAAAAAAAAATTAATTAATTAAAAAATAATAATTCCCATTCAATACAATACAATGCAATGCAGTTTAACAGTTGCCTCGAATGTGCAAAGTTCATGCAGAATGTCTTGGAAGAGCAAGCATGATGATGGGGGGCCAGGGAGATGGTTCAGTGGAATAAGCACTTTCTGGGCAAGCACAAGGGCCTGAGTTCAATCCCCGGTTATGCCCCCCCCCAAAAAAAAAGTGATGATGGCCAAACTCTGGCAGGCTGGGAGACATCAATAAATACTTTTATTTGGGGGTGTTTAAGGAGGAAACAGACCTGAAAACCAGGTGAGCATCAGGCAAGGTAGGAGCAACTCCAATTCTAGATTGGATTTCTGTACTCCCTAGCAGGGTGGGCTCGGTGTGACTCCACCCACTACTACAGATAGCTCAGGCTAAGGAAGCTTGCTTTAGAAAAGCCTCACAAAATGTGAGAGCCTGCAGACACTAAAGGGAGTTTTTCTCCCACTCCTTAGATAAGTAGATTACTAGGGGAAGTAGTAGATAGGTAGAAACCAAAATCCCTTCTCCTGTCAAACAGATTTATAGGTCATCTTGAGAAGAAAAATAAGACACCCTGCCCCTCAATATCCTGCTGATCTTAAGTCTGTAGTGAAACAGACACACTCAAGGGGGAAAAGTCCCTTCTGGAGAAAGGACAGATCCAAAAAAGCTTTGCTAAGGAATGCCTGTCTCCAAAATAAGTAAAGGCAGGGGCTCAGCGTGTGGAATTGACACTACACTTGAAGGGTAGAGGATAGAAGAAGGCGGAGACAATTGAAGGTGGGGAAGAGAGCTGATATTCTCCTTCTTTGCTTTCCTGGGCAGATGAGGGTGACTCTCCCTACCTCCCGCCCCCAAATGCAGGACTAGCCAGTCGGAGGCTGGGCCAGCAAGGGAGGAGCCACGCCGGTCAGACGGGTGTAGGCACGCCCCTCCGCGCCACACCGCACACCCACACACACCCTCTGCGGCTTCTCTCTGCTCCGGAAGAGCCGGTTACTCCTGTGCGCACTGACTGCCCCCACCCCTTCCGAGCCCCAGGCCTAGTCTCCAGGGCAACCTCTAGGACTGTCCCCGACGGGAGAGGTTTGGGAGACTGCTGGATAGGAAAGGACCACCCGGGATTAGAGAAGAAAAAAGAACAGGATCCCATTTTTCCCTTTTGATACCGAAGACTAACAATCATCATCCTTGAATGAGACCTTGCCTTATCCCATTTAATCAGGGATCTTCCTAGCATTCAGGAGACAGTAGTCAAAATGCCCAACAGCTGGGTGTTTACTTCTTGCCAGTCGTCACCCAAGTAGCAGCTGTGCTTCTCCCTCCCATTCAGACGGCAGAGGGCAGGCTCACCCCGTGTGTCCCTAAATATTTCTCAATCCCATCAGATGTGGCCAATGACCTTACTCACCGCCCTTTAAGAAGCTACTAGAAAGGGGAAGGGGGAAAGGGTCATTTTATCAGTAATTTATGGGAAGAGTGTCTAGGAAAGAGTCCCTCAAGACAGGTCAGGGGAAGAGAAAAAGAGGAGGAAGGAATTAGCACCTGCTCCCCTTTCTAACCCTCCTTTCTCGCTACACCTCCCTGACTCCGGGGTCAGCTGTCACAGTGCCTGGCTCCACTCTGCAGCCAGATGGCAAGGACCAGGAGGAGGAAGGGAAAAGAGCCTTACTGGTCCTAGCTCTGCTTCCTTCCTTCTCCCCCATCCAGACCCTCCTAGCATCCAACCCCAAGCACCACTAGGGACTACATTAACCTTCCCACCGTGCCCTCCCAATCCCCTGGAACACAATTCACAAGAGTGTGACCAAATCCTGACATTCCTCCCCAATTCTGCAGGTGGTAAGAATGAAAGCACAAAAGCAGAGTTAGGGGTGCAGTTGGACCTGTCAGAGAATTCTCCACTTGAGCTAGGGTAATTATAAAAGACCTCCTGCTTGCTAGCAGAATGGATCATACTGTTAATAGGATTTACTAGAGAGATGGCTTTCAGTCTTCCATTCCAATTGGTCCCCTCTTCCTTGGGTCAGAGCAAAACAGTCCTCATCCTTCTCACCTTGGGGAGGCAAGATTCTCCCATAATATATTAAAAGGTAAATACTCTTCTCTCCAAGTCGGCCAATGCCCCTCAGATTTAGTCTTAGGATGGAGGTACCCTCTACCTCTTTAATAGAGAAAGATGGACTTCCCTCGCCTCACCGGTCACCCCGATTCTCCAGGGATTTGATTTAGCCCATGCCCCCAACAGTCGCTGGCCAGCACTCAGATCCTAGGCTTCTGGATTCTGGGGGAGGGGCGTCCGAGGCCGGAACAGCCAACCCCAGGCCCAAGAACGAGGCCCTTCCCACCTGGGCGCTGTGGGCGGAGCTGGGGTCGGACCCCAAACTCTGGAGATTTGGGGTGGGGCGACGACTGTGGAGACGCTGGAGGTGGTACTTCGATTACTGAGCGTATTCGGGCTACTGTCGTCCGGGTTGCCCCGACCCCGGCCCCGACTACGGGAGGGGAGTGGAGCTAAGGTGGCGGTTGTCCCTGCTCCCCGATGGGGGGTTAGGATGGCGTGGGAAAGCGCTAATTCCAGAGTGGAGGAGGCGAAACCTAGACCGCGGGAGATGTTTCTGGCAAGCACGACGCGGGGGAGGGGAAATCCTAGGCCCAGAATAGGAGGAGCACCGGAGAGGATGACGGCTAGGCGTGAGAAGCCTCTGGATTCCGGTCGCCGAGCGCGAGAAGCCGGCGAGTAGACAGCACGGGTTAGAGAGGAAGGGCAGCTCCCGGGGGAGGCCCGGTCCCAAGCCCCGGGACGGGGACCGGGACTCCGAGCCGGAGGTGTGGGCCGGGCCTCACCTGGAGCTGGGCCGGGCTGCGGGCAGCGGCGGCGCAGGTGGCGGAGCGGGGCGGCGGCGCCTCCTCCCCCAGCCCTGGGCCGGCGGGGGGAGGGGGAGGTGGCGCTTAAAGGGCCAGGAGCGAACGGGGTGAGGAGCTATCGGGGAGGGGGAGGCGGGTGGCGTCTCCGGCCAGAACCAGGAAGGATCCCAGATGGAGGAGGACAGCAGATCCCAGGAAGAGGCAGAAACTTAGGCGGCGAAGTCGGGGGTGGGGGTGGGGGGTGTCCGAACCGCAGTACTTGGGAGAGCGGTGCCTGCGCTCCCGGGCGCTGCGAAGACCTCTGCACAAAGAAGGCTGGGAAAGCAGTGGGAGCCACAAGGACTCCAGCACGGCCCCGAGTGCTGGGGGTCACGCGCAGCTCCCTACGAGGTGAACAGGTCCCCGGTTTCACCTCCTCCTCCAGGCCCCACCCGCACAACTGTGGAGCTTCTGGAATCAGGAAGCCACAAGGGCAAAACCTTCCTGTCCTCTCAAGCTCAGTTTTACCTCACTCAGTGTCCTCACCGACTAATGTGGAGGCCTGCCGAACAGCCCGACGCAGGTTGACGTGGGATCGTGAGAATCGCTTTTATTCATACTTTAGTTTTGTCCCAACCACTGCCATCCTTGCAGCAATCTCTGGGGCAACCAGAAGCAGGTGCTCAGTGCAGCCCCCACCCGGTGGTGGGACATGGTGGGGGAGGAGAGACACAAGGACTTGAGAGGCCTGAGGGAGACTGGGGGAAGTGGAAGCACCCCAAAGACCCTCCACAACGACCGAAGGTGAGCGCCACTTTTGTGGGGGCAGCAGGAGTACTATGAAATATTACTGGGATCTCCACAGCTTGAATAAGGAGCTAAGAGCAGTACTCAGGATGGGGAAGCCCTGGCTTGAGGCAAGGGCTTAGGCGCTTGCTTAGAGCTGGAGCTTGCCAATGCTGGGATCCCTTGGCTGGCAGCCTCACCAGCTGAGCCCTGTGTCTCCCCCATAGTCCCATTTCCTCTGTTTCACCCCCCAAACGAGCAAAGGTTAGGCCCCACCCACCCCTGCTGAGTCAGCCAGGGAGGGAGCTAGGCATCCCTCAGGCCTTCCCCAGGGCTTGCCCCGCACTCACCCATGTCAGTCTGGCAGGACTCCCCGCGGGGACCACCGACTCCTCACTGTCCTTGGCCCACCTTGACGTGAAGGCTGGTGTTAGATCTTCTCAAAATATGAACTGAAAACTAGTAAGAATCAAAAAGCCAGTGTATGCTTCCTGCGAACCACACAGCCTGAACTGCTGTAGGGTGATGTCCCTGTGTGACAGACTGGGGTGGGAGGGAGGAGGGAAGGGCGGGGCTTTCTCTGGGTGGAGAGAGGGAGGAGGCAAGGACAGGGCAGACCAGGAGAAATATGGAGGAAGGTTAGAAGTGTGTTGACACTTCAGTGGCGTGGTAGAAGAGGGTGGTGAAGGAGGAAGGAAATAATTGCATCTAGTGACAGGGAGAAGGTTCTCAGTAAATGCTGGAGGTCGTCCTGAACGTGTGGCGAGGAAGAGGTGGAAGGATGCAAATGACCTTTAGGATTTCATTTCCCAGGCCTGCATCTGGGTAGCTGAGAAAACAGCAGGAAGGGGTGACCCAGACCCTGGTGCCTTCATCACCTTATCCACTCGAGTCAGGACTTGGAAGAAGTGTCCCCACCCCCATAACTCAGCATTTCCCCAAATTCAAGCTTCTGGGAGCCGACTACCGGTCACAAGCAGCTCAGGGGCTCCACCTTCCGTCTAGACCACGACATAGGAGACTGGTGTCGTGGTCATAAGCAGATGGGAGGAAGCTTACAGGCCCCTACTCCACCCCTGGCGCCTCTCCTAGGGCCCCTCCCCAACCTTTAGCCCCCAGGGGCCTCTGAATTGGGAGCTCAGCAGCTAGTCTCCGCCCAGCTTCTACCCAACTTGGAGACCTCACGGGTGGAGCCTATAGATGCAGGCCACTCCTCCGGACAAAAGCCTCAGCTGGTTTGTAAACAGTCATTAGATGAGAACCACCTCCCAGCAAATGGCCTTTAAAGGATTTCAAAATGGTGACATCAGAGATCTTGCAGGCTCCGATGCTGCCACGAGAGGGCACTAGGACGGATCTGGCCTCAGAGAACACCAGGGGCACCAAAATTGACCTTGCACTATAGCATTTTAGGCTAAAACGACCTAACTTCATTTAGGAGCCCAAGCAGCAATTCAAAAGTTGCTGTCTCCCCGTAAGATCAAACCTTTCCTAAACTTTCACAAGGGACCTCAGTAGAGCTCAGGCGAGGCCTCATGGTACGCTTTACTCCTGGAGAGGCTCAATCACAAACATGCAGGTATAGGCTTGCTCCTGTCAGGAGACAATAGTATAAAGATCTAATGAAGATGTAGAGCCCTTTTAACTCATTGTAACAAAAGACAAGTACAATTTCCTAAAAATTTTAATTCCTGCCTTGCCTTGGAATGCCACTTCTAAACCAATAGGATTTTTGTTTTTGTGTACTACTTTTTTTTTTTTGGTGGTACCAGGGATCAAACTCAGGACCTTATGCTTGAATACTGCTCTTAAAAAAATCCTTTTTTAACCAAGTAGAAATGTGCTGAGGGGTAAGATCCATTTGCTTTCAACAAATATGATTGAGACAAAGGTGGGAAAGTTCACACTACCCAAAGGAAAATCCTCAGAAAACCTGCAGCAGTTTATAAATCTTTAAGAATGGTAATTCTTTTCTGATATTATTCCAAGTACAGTTAGCCTAATTTGCATCTTTTTTTTTTTTTTTTGTGGAACTGGGGATTGAACTCAGGCGCAGGGAAGCACTTATTCCACTGAGCCATCTTCCCAGCCCCTCCTAATTTGCATCTTATGGCTGTCAAAAACGTTAGTACTATGTTGTCATAACCAAGAAAAACACAAATGCTGGGTTTACATTTTATTGGAAACCTTAAATACTCTTCAGACACAGTATGTCTTCAACTGAGGCTCTTGTACGGCCGACACAGAAACTGGTTTCAGGGTTATCAGCAAAGTGAAGGGCAGGACAGAAGAGAGCTTATTCTGGCGGGAGGCTCTCAAGACGCATGCTCCTCGGCAAGTTTATCAGCTTTTGCCACAGCTTCTTCAATGGGTCCCACCATGTAAAAGGCCTGTTCTGGGAGATGGTCATAGTCGCCTGCAAGGAAAGTAAATCCAACTAGCAAGGAGTGTAGCATGGTACCAACCTTATCCATGAGTGGAAGCCACCAGACTGACCAATTCATGTCGTCTAAGAAACCTCTTCAGTGTCCCTCAACATGTCAAGTTCAAAAGACACAGTGTACTATGGATTAAGAACACATTTTAAAAAACATGAGTAGCAGCCATAGTGGCACATGCCTATAATCCCATCATTTGGGAGGCTGGAGGCAGGAAGATCAATGTAAGTTCAAGGCCAACCTGGGATACATAGTGCATTCAAGATCAGTCTGGACAACACAGTGAGAACCTATCTTAACCTATCTCAAAAACATCACAAAAGGCTAGCACATAAGGACTGGGAGGCTGAAAACAGAAGGATCACAAAGAGTCTGAGCTGCATAGTGAGACCCTGTACCAAATACATAGAAAAAATAAAAATAAATGAACATATGACTTGGAACTGTATTACCTGGGAGCCAAAAAACGAAAACAAAATGAAACTTTTGAGACAGGGTCTCACTATGTAGCCTAGGCTACTGTTGCTACCTCTTGATCCTACTGCTTCAACCTCTTGTCTGCCGGTATGATAGGCCTGCACCACAAGGGCCAGCAACACATTGTATTCTCTTCCCTGGCTATGTAATACGAAGAGTTTACTTTTAACACTTTTATCCTCATTTGTAATACAGGGTAATAATGCTTTTTCTGTATTGTAATTTACTCAGAAGAGTAGCTACCTAGTACAGAAACCATTCAGTGGTGTATTACATACAAAAGGACATGCTACACAACTACTTGGGAGGCCTGAAAGTTTGAGGTTAGCTAAGAAAGACTATCTCAAAATACAGAAAGGGCTGGTATGTAGCTCAGTGGTCAAGTATTTGCCTAGCATGCACAAGATCCTGAGTTGAATCCTCAATAGCCTCGAGGCCAGCCTG